GATGCATGGCGCCGTAGATGGGAGAAGGAAGTCGAGAAGAAGCGCAAGTTGCAAGAACTGTATAAAGTCCTGAAAGATCAGGTTGCCATGCATCATAACGGCTCTCCGAGGCCTAGGGTCGTTATTCACGGCGGTCCCGATTACGAGGTTGGTTCGTTGGTTTTCTTTCTTTCTCGTCGTGTCACAATTTGTATTTTTGTATATTACGTGTGTATTAGTTTAGTACTGTCGAAAATTAGTTGCAATCTCATATTTCAACAATCTCACTCTTTAGTCAGCTTCGAAAGTTTTACTTTAAAGCTGAAAGACGTGAAACAAATAAATTGTGTACGTGGGATGAAGGTCGGGACTTGAACCAGAAATCCATTGATTACGAGTCGACCGATTTTGTCAAGCGCCACGTCTCATCCCAGATCTCTGTTGTGTTAAATTCTTATTTTATTTTGGTTATTCCAAAATTGTACACAAATATTTATAATTATACAACTATGTGATATGCAGGGTTGGGAAGTAACTCGTTACTTGTAACCAAGTTACAGTTAGTTACTTTTTTTGGTAACTCTAACTTCGTTACTTTCTCTCCATTTGTAACTGTAACTTAACTGCAAGTAGTAGAGAGAAAGAAAGTAACTGCAAAGTGACGATTCGTTACTTCTTGAGTAACTGTAATTGTAACGCCTTTTTAGAATTGGTAACTTGTAACTATGACTAGTTACATTTTTAAGGAAAAAAGCTGTAACTGTGACTAGATACTTTTATAAAGTAACTTTCTCAACCCTGATGATGTGCTGCTATACGTCGTAATAGACCAAAGAAAAGCGAGAAAAAATTGAAGAATGCAAAAGATTCTTTTGCACTATGTATTTCCAATGCTTATTGATATGGACATCGCGTATCTGTTGAAGCTGTATGTCCACTATATTGTGCAACACTTCAACAGCACGTAACTTACATAACTGTTAATATTGGGATTGACGAGTTTTTAAAAGATATAGGGACTAAATAGTAGGGATAAAACGAACGACTTGTGTGAAATTTGCTGAAGACATTTTTACTTTTAATTGGTACATGCAGGTCAAGCTGCCGCTACAAACGCTTCGAAGCATTTCTCTTCCGTTTTTACTGAACGATAGGAGAAGGAGAATAATTCGAAACATTCGAAGCGACAGCTTTACTGCAGCCATAATTACCAATTTTTGAGAAACTAACATCTTTGGACATTTTTGTATGCGTGACCAATTTTTTCCTAAATTCCTGATAACAAATCTTTTGTTATCACAAATACTTTCGTACAAAGGTATCTAGTTGTTTATTCGTGAAAAATTCTTTCTGACATCGCGTCGAACTTCTCTGCGGAGTGAGTGACATAAGTAACACCTATGTGCTAGAAAGTAAGAGAAATGTGTTTCTGACTATATTTCGCAATTATGAATTAGGTCACTACTTTGGAAATCTTTTATCCGCTCAAGTCCGCGGCGCACGATGCTCTTCGTCTGCTGGATTGCTTGCGTGCGCCTCTGCTGACTAGCGAGAGCCAATCGTGATATAGGCTGAAGTCATCTGAGCTAACAGTTTGCATTCTAATTGGCTTTCACCAACTAGAAGAAGCGCGCACGCGCGATCCAGCAGACGAACTGGCACCGCGTCAACCGCGTGCACGCTGGCTTTAGTATCCTGTAAACCACCAAGAGACACGGATTTGTGTATTTATTCCTCGTGTACATCTCTGTGTATCATTCCACTTGTATTGTTAAAAATCTTAATAATAGAAAAATGAAGTTTCTGGTTGAGGTATTGTTTTTCACAACGGACTTAATATTATAATTATTTAGACACTGTGAATTATATATTAAGTTAAATTAGGATTCCCAGCAGGGGAAGGCCGAGAGGGTGGACGCGCGCTCTTAATAAGTGCAAGAAAAATTGCATCGTACAGAAATATAAACCAAGAAATGACGAAACCTCTCGCTTATTAAGTATTTATGGCTGTGAGTCAAGGCTAATGTCAACTCTGCGTTTTAAAAAACTCACGATGTTCGTCACCCCTGACCTCAGAGCACGTGCAAAGTTCGTTGTGTCGATAATGGTTGCGTACATTTTGGACGTCTACATGTTGAAACACGTTATTTCATCTTTCCAGAACGTACCACGTGCAATAAAGATAGAATGACGCTCTCTGCACGTGAGCGCCCAGAGTGAATGCAGTCGATATTCCGATTAATTAAAAACAAAATGATGATTTCATTTTCAAAGATTTGTCGCGTGTTTTTTTGTAAAACATATAGTATAAATAATAATTAAAATTATTTATCCCCCAAAAGTAGAACAGTAGGCTTATGTTATTGCTATATTTGTTTCTCTCGAGGGGGAAACCGCTGACCAAAATCTTGTACACGCACCGGCATAAATGCTGTCCCTATGCTTGTGAGGTGCACGCACACAACTAGAGTCCCTGTAGTTGTGTGCGTGCACCTCACAAGGATAGGGTCAGGATTTATGCCGGTGCGTGTACACCAATGCCCACTAATGCCCAGTGGGCATTACTTTATCTTATTATCTTCTTTTATTTCATTTATCTTGTCTTATCTTATTTTATCTTTATAATGCCCCGGCAAGACGTAATGCCCAAAAAATGCCCTAGTAATGCCGCAAATCTGTACACCACAATGCCCTCAGCGGTTTCCCCCTCGGTTTCTCTTCATTATTTATGGCAGCCAACGCTAGAAAAAAAATAGCACACACAAGAATTTCCTTCAGTCTGTTCCTGGGATCCGTAGGCATTGAGATTACTTAGACTTCTTCCAGTAACGTCGTGAAACTTTCTTTTCAAGGAAGGTCCACACAGCGCTCTTTGTGATGAAGAATTTTACGATGCCGTCGAGACGGGTCTGGATAAAATCGAGGAGGAGAATCAACTAAGGGACCGTTTAAAACAGAAATCCGTTTCAATTTTGACGTCTCCCACCACAACAGCGTCTACGCACAGGCTATGGCCTGAGGTAATTAAATTTCGTTTGCGTTGCTCTGATTTTATTCTTATTGTTACCGAGAGTGTACTTATGCGACATCAATATGCATTAGTAACTCGATTTTTAATATGACAATAGCATAGAGGGTTAACATAAATAAATTCTTGATTGACGATAATTCTTAATATAACAACGATTGTTAATCATTTCTATCCTTGTGGTATAATTGAAACGCTTGCCTCTCTTAATTATTTTCTATTGCCAATTTGCAGATAGAGAGAGTTACGATGGAGCAGTTACACTATGCTCGGCTCGGCGTAGGTGGAGCGGGTGGCTGGCAGTTATTCGCCGAGGACGGTGATATGCGAATGTACCGGCGGGAGGAGGAGGCTGACGGATTGGTCGTAGACCCTCTCAAGGCCTGTCACGTCGTCAAAGGAGTAACCGGTCACGAGGTCTGCGAGATATTCTTCAGTCCCGAATACAGGAGCGGTTGGGAAGCTACCCTGGAGGACATGGCGATCGTCGAGAACATCTCCAAGGACACGCTAATATTTCTGCAAACGCACAAACGTATCTGGCCGGCGAGCCAGCGGGACGCGTTGTTCTGGTCGCATATGCGCCGGGTGTCCGATGATCAGGATCGCGACGCACACGATCTGTGGATAGTCTGCAACCACAGTACTGAATATCCCGATTATCCTGTACATATTACGCATTATTTGATGCAGAAATTTCTTTAGAGTAGATTCCAGTTGAGGTTTCTAAGTGACATTAATCGTTTCAGCCAAACGCGGGAAAATGCGTGAGAGTTTATCTGACAGTTTGTCTTGTATGCCAAACATTTATCGATCCCCCGAAGGATGAGGAGGAAATAAAGAGGGAGAATATTACGTGTAAGATAACGTACTGTTCAGTTGGTGAGTATATTGATGTTCAATAACTTAGTCACTCTTTTGTTAGCTATCGTAATTAACAGCTTGTCGACGGGTGACGTGAATTGGCGGCTTTCACTTGTATAAGGATATTATAAAGACAGCTATGGGAACAGGTTTATTTGTATAGGTGCATGCATATTTCACACATGTAGATCCCAAAAATGAGCGGGAACTGATCTGTCTTGCGGTATACCGTCAACAATGTGTTAATATATTTAAAATGTTTCTGTAAAATTTTCTGACTGACATTGTTCATGTACTCTCGATCGAATTTACTCACGTCAGAGCGTCATGTTAATCCTGTACAAAGTTTAAGTATCCTTGTATTTATGTATCTCTTCGTGCGTGTACAGTTTGATTTTGAATTTCAGTCAATCCAGGTGGCTGGGCCCCGGCATCCGTTTTACGGGCCGTTTACAAGAGAGAGTATCCAAAGTTCCTCAAGCGTTTCACGAACTTTTGTATCGATCAATGCAAGAATAAGCCGATCACATTCTGAATGTGACTGATAAGAAGAAAGAAAGAAAAAGAACTTCAATGTTTTCCATCCAATTCCTTATTCACTATCTCGAAGTGTCTTCACGTGATTACTGTAAAAACAAGTTTGTATTGTTACATACTGTAGGAATTGTAGAACGGCCATTACGACGTAAGAGTGATACCGTTTTGTATATTACCTTTTTCTTTTTTTATTTGCTTAAGATAATCGACTTATATAGCTTGCGAATGCGGGGGGGGGGGGTGAACCGTTACGTTAAAAGCCATTTATGATATAAGTGAGTGTACAGCAATTACGTACACTCGGAAAAAAAAATCGACTTCGATAAAGCACGCGTGGCTGCAGCACCGTTTACAGACTTTCCCTTTTCTCTTTAAACAGCCTGTTATATTTGTATACAGAACGCTGTCGCAGAATCCAATTGTACAAATCTTTAACGAAAATTGGATGCATATACATTTATCTCTTGTTACACATTGCAATCTAATTAAACGCTGAACTGTATGATACCAGATTATACTGTTATTTTTATTCGTACATAAAAATGTGTACATTGCTATGCGATATAAAGGTCACATGGAAAAACGTAATAAAAAGACTGTTGTAGATTTATTATAAAATAACAATCATTTCCACATCATGCCATTCGGTCAAACCTTTCATCGTACAATAAGAGCACAGGAACGAAGAAGTACAGTGTATATCTCTTGGTGAAACAAATTAATTTCTATCAATTAAATGAAACATTTGTGGGAGAAATTATACTTCATAGACATACGTACATATGTCTGTATAAAATTCTTTCCTACAATCATCTATGTATTTTACCAGATAATTTAAATTTAACTGTATAACTTTTTAAAATATTAAATCCCGGAAAATAAATGTCCGATTTGTGAATCTTTACGATTCTTTAAAGAGGAGCAACTATTTCTTCCTATGGAAAGTAATAACATGACTTGTTAGTGGAAATAGAAAAGAAGTGTAAAAAAATTATTTATCTGTACAATACGCTTCACGAAAGAATATCTAAGTGTAAATGCATCATATCTTAAAACTTCTTATATGTTGCATGAAATAATAACTATACACATACCTATACATATATAAAGTACAATTAATGGTAATACATTGACTGAAATGAAAAGATCGCAGACCCGCATGTGATTGTGACATTAATAATGAGCACCATAAACAAGCATGGTAAATTCAGAACTAAATTAGAAATCATTGTTTGTAAAATATTTTTCGATGTACGTATAATCATAAAATTAAGATTTTACCGCCGTGTTCGCTCTACAGTTCTATGCATTGTTGCTTATAATAAGAAAAAGTTGTAAATATCTCAACATTCCATATATACAAATCCAACTATTTAATTTCAAACAGTTTTTAATTAACAACAGATTAGTGGCTATTTTCCCTTATATTACGTATAATATTCGTGTTTCATAACATGTATGCATACGAAATAGGGACTTCAAATGTAAAGTCACGCACCGATTATGCGGTTTTTTTTTACATATTACCGTAATGGAAAGGCAGATAGTGTTCACATCGAATGAAATCGTTTTTACAATTTCAATTGTATTTACACTTTCTTTTAGAGAAGAGTTTGACAAATACAAGGAAACAGGAATGAAGTCTTCATCAGGTATCACGTAAGTAACGATAAAAATTAATCGATATGTTGAACATTTACCTGAGAGCTATAAATACACATTAAATGCAACATCGTTTCGTACCTGATTAACGAAAATGTCTCAATCGAATATAACTGTTCGCAACATGACGAAGTCACGATTTTGTTAAATTAATATTTAATGTTCACATTTCATATTTTACCGAAACCATGATACTCGATTGTTCCTTCTTCGAAATCCTTTACCTTTTGTCGACTTATTTGAAATTACATCACGTTTAACCAAAGAATACATTAGTGTACTAGAGTTTAGTATCAAACAGCTAGTAAGTCTTTTAAAGTACTTCTTTTAAAGTACCCTTTTACAATTATATAACAAATCATAAAACTGCTGCGCAAGTCTAACTCTCAAGAACGACGTTTCCTTTTTAAGGTATAAAAAACACTTGATTGCCCATTAAAAATTGTATAGCCTACATTACTATGACTTTCCTTATGATTCGTAGGAGCCTAATTTCTTTAATACACTAAGACCCTTCTCTTCGTATTCCTCCCGCGTTATCCACACGGAATCTCGGTCCTTCGTTATTTCCGCTAATACAGCACCACCCATGAAAACCATGTCCTTACGCCGAGGTGAGTCTTCAATTTTTATCTTAAATTTCTACAAGAAAGAAATTACGTATCGTAAACATCCGCGGTACATAGGGTAAATGTACTAGCAGTGGACACCTGCCACTTTTGTTTAAAAAAAAAGAAGTATAAACACAGGATACAGATTTGAGCCGCGCGTCACAAAGAACACTCTAGCGTAAGCTTTAATCTATATCCTATTTTTTCACACCTCATTTTTTTTAACAAACAAAAGTAACAGGTGTCAACTACTGGTACACTTACCCTACCAGTGCTACTAATTATAATGCACTTACATTCAATTTAGTGGTATCATTCTTTAATACTCTTTGAAGATAAAGTTGCTTAATTTCTCGTTCAAGCCTCGATGGAAGCCCCGGATACATTGTACTACCGCCGCTCAGAACGATGTGCTTGTACAGCTCGCTTCTGATATCGATATCAGCCGCTTGAATTGTGCTAAATACCAGCTCGGCTATTCCCTGCGCCTCGACGTTAATCAAATGAGGCTGAAACAGCGCTTCCGGTGCCGCAAATCTCTCACCGCCCACTTTGATCACACGCCCATCGGGAAGCTGAAAGTATTTACAAGGATTTGCATGTCTTCCAAGTCAAGCTACGTAAATATGGATTACTACACTAGTGCGGACAATATTTTACTTACGGTATAGGACTCTACCAATACAGTGGTTTCAAGTGCCAACTTCTCTTCCGTTTCTATGTTGTAGCCGATGTAACACAGTTTCTCCTTCAACATACGCACCGTCTCAAAATCGGCCGAGTGATTGAACGCGTAGCCGCGCAGCAGCAGCAATTTAATTAGATACATCGTAATATCGCGCCCGGCTATGTCTAACCGTCTGGTCAAATGCGGCAGAGCGTACTCGTCGAACACGGGGCAAATGTGCGTAACGCCGTCGCCGGAATCCACGACGACGCCGCTGATCAATCCTTGAGCGTACAGTGTCAGCACTGCCTGAATCGCGATGTACGTGCCGGCGAAACCGTACTTCTCAAACATCACCTGAAACAATGTCGTGACTCGTCAGGTTCTCCGTTCGCACGATTTCAACCTTTAACTGGACCGCACAACGTTACCTCTATCATCTTTTCTCTATTCGTGATGGGATTCATCGGTGGTTCGGTTAACAGAATTTTACATTCTTTAGGATTAATATTCATCTTCTCCTTGCCGAACGTGTAGTCCCACACGTGACACATGTCTTCCCAGTTTCTATCAAGTGTTGAACGTATTGCAATGATTTGCGTCAAGCACAAGTACTCGGTACAAGATAAGTACATACCTAACTATCCCATTTTGCATTGGGTAACTTATCTCTAACATAGAACGAAGTTTGCTCGCTTCATCGCCAACCATTAAGTCCTGCGGCAATAATATGTAATTATCAAAACTCTGCATGCGTCACCAAGGTATGTTATGTTCATTTTACGAAGAACTACTTTGCATATAGTAAATATATCCATAGTACAAAAATTCTAAGTGTTTATGCTACACTGACCAAAGCTAAGTGTCCAAAATGTGTGCAATGAACCTGTCATGTATAATAGGAAGAAAATTAAAACGGTAAGTGAAATGTTGCCTTAACAGGATTTTACAACAGAAAGATGATAAACATTTCCGATTGTTTCTCGTATACCAAGATTTAGCCAATACTTCCATAAAATGTTACGGTTCACGGTAATCTGTTCTGCGAGACTCAGGTTACAGCAATTCATGTCAGAAGAGTATTCTACATTAGACGTTTCCAACCGTGTCTACCTAAGCACTTTGGAAGAAAGTTGGCCGGATTATACGACACTACTCCCACGCCTACGGCCGAGAAAACGTTCTTTCTCATAAAAACACTGATTCAACGGATGTGTATAGCGTCAATAAAGTACAATAAACTTACAGGCATGTTAAGCACATCCTACGAGAGCAAATGTAAGCACACAAATATATTAGACAATCATAGGAAGAGCATAAATATGTACGCAGGTACCCACGCAAGTATAAAAATTGCAGATCATTATTGTGACGAATGTATTGGCAAAGGCACATCTTTTAGCTTCGTCAAAGCAAACGTGACATTCACGCCACCAGCAAATTTTCAACATCTCTCGCAAGAAAAACATGGGCATCCAGTACACCGAATGGATCTTCTCACACGATGTAAAGTCATTCGTTTAACGATAACAATAGAACTCGAAGGAATTGTTAATAAACTCGTCAAACGATTAAATATTAAGATACTGTGAATAACGTTCGTCTTACATTTCAAACGCATTTTCTCTTTTGTTAGTTAAACGCCATTAGCTTCTCAAACCGTTCTATTTACATCAGTGGACAAGCACGTAGATTATTTTCAGTCGGACTTAAGCGCTAGGGGGGCAGGGAGGGCACACGACGTAATACTTTATAATGGACTTACACGGACGCAATATTCTTGCTGAAAATATAATTGTTCTTATTAATCGTCTGTGCTAAATACACTTGAGCAATTTAAAGGTCCGAAGATCACAGTTTCATTACGTAGCTTGATCGATACATAAGAAAACTACGTCCCTCGGTTCTCTTCCTTAATTTCAAGATGTATGCATTGAAAAAAAAAAACTTTTCGCTACCGTAGCCAATCATGGTTTGCTAAAAATATTTTGCTGCCATAGCTATATGCTTGTTTTCTGTTGCTGCACTGGTGAACTAGTGCAGCAAGCTAGAATGAGAAAACATATACTAGTCTTACTCCAATTTATTGCGCTAGTGCACTTCACCAGTGCAGGAACAGAAAACAAACCTTACACATTTCTAAACCACAGCGAACGGTTTGCTGAAGCACCCAAGTTCCAGTTTACAATAGTTGATGTAAACCCTAAGCCCTAAGTAATTGACCGATCGCGGTCAAAAATGAGAAGAATACAGGGCTGTGATCGGTCAATTTCTTAGGGCTTAGGGTTTACATTACCTATTGTAGACTGAGACTTGGGTGCTTCAGCAACTTGAGCATTTAAGGGCCAATTTCACAAACGTTGGTTAACTGTTAACGAGAGTTCAGTCAACTCTCTATCTTTTTCTATCTTGTCATCTAAGAAGAGAGAGAGAGAGAGAGACAATCTTAATCTTCGATTAACTGTTAACCGACGTTTGTGAAACTGGCCCTAAATCATCTATCGTAGACTAGTACAATAGGCACAGTAGCAAAATATTTAGCTAAATATTAGCTCCGTTCATATTTTGCAACTGAAATTTAGTCGCCACATGCAGTTTTTGGCTACGGCGGCTACATTTTTCCTTCCGCGCGTTTGTCACATCTTTCCTACAGTTTCGTAAATCGAGAACAGTCGAAATCGAGATTTGCCCAACACTCGTGAACACAACCGTTGTATTCGTTCGCTCTACAGACGTGAACTTTCATGATAAATTAAAACCGTTTAACAATGAAGAATAACCAAACGGTGATGTTTCAGTGAATCAAACGTCGACTGCTAAGGCATACTACATCGAGACGAAAAATTGCCATTGCTGGCCCTAGGTTCTCAAGCTCGTAGTCTGAGGCAACGTACCTTCACGTCGATGTCGCCGATCTTGTTGATAGCTCGGATAATCGGTCGTCCGACTATAGACGGGAATATGTGGGCCGGGAAATTGGCGCCGGCGTAGCCGCACTTGACGAACTGCAATGGGAAAAACTGCATCGGTGCCGGTAATACACGGGCGACCTGAGGAACTCCAACTCGGCGCATCCTCTTTCGGTCGGCGCGGCGAGAAACCACGCGGAGGCGGCCGCGCGCCTCCCGCGAGGGGAAACAAGAGAGCCGTGCGGCCTTACCCCGGTGCCATTGTCGCATACGATGATCTTCCTCCCCTTGCTGTCCATCTCGACGTGCTATCCCGTGAGAAGATTATCCCTTTTCTCTATCTGTCTACCTCTCCGTCACCTCTCCTGTTAGACGGCCGTCATATCGCCAGTCCCGTCGAATGACTAATACCTGCGGATGAGACAGGGCGTTACCGGTGGGTGACACCAAAGCGGCGGACGTTACTCTCGCCCAGTAGATACCGTCTCGTATCATCAGTCGGGGCCGGGGACTCGACTCGCGCGAAGGAAACCGGGAGGGGATGAAAAAGGGGGAGACCGACGTCGTCCCCGGGCGTGAATTCACTCGGCGCACACACGGCGTACGGCGGACGAGCAGATTCCGCGTGAACTCAAACCATCGCTGTGGGAGACGGGAAAAAAGGCCGCCCTTCGCGGGACTGCGGACGGAGAAACACACGAGAGCGACAGCCAATCACGGTCGAGAACCCCCTCGAGGCCGTAGGCCGCCGTTTCGCGTTTCTCAGGTATTCCAACGTCCGTGGTTCAAGCCTTTAGACTAACCAATTGAGAAGCAGTCAGCGATTTACTCGATTCCCATTGGCTAGAAGCAATCTTCAATCACCAATCCCAAACCGAGTCAGTAATTGCTAGTCTGATTCGGCCTTTAGGTTTGTTCTATGCAGACGCACCCCCCCCCCCCCCGATAATTGGCTAGACATGGCCGTATTGGATCCAGATGGAGCCAGGAGCCAGAAACTTAATAATAATAATAATCTATGCAGACGCAGCACACGAATCAGGTGAATGTAATTCAAGTTAAGATTCTACAAGTTTCGAATAAACCTAATGGCCGATTTTTTCACTTCCCGATAAAATTATCCGGAGGTTAATCTCAAGTTTTGGCCAATCACGTGCATGGATCTGGTAGTTATCTCCCGTTTAACTTTAACCGTAACATAACTGGATGTGAAGAAATCGGGCATTAGTCCCTCGTTTTCCACAGCTAAGCTTTTTGTACTAATTGTTTACGTCCATTTCATTTTACTTGCTATTTTATTACGACTACTTACATTTGTTACGTTACATTTTCGGCATGTAAAATATGAGGCAGATGTATAAATCGCACATTGTAGAGAGAAAGAGAAGTTAGAAATCGAACATGAAATTTCGGAAAAAAATTTTTAGGTTCATCTTGCACTTGTTTTGGGGCACGCAACGCGGAACGGACCTTCAATGGTCTTGATTGGTGTTGCTCCGAACTTCCATTGCGCAGATCAGGTTAGGATTAGATTAGGTTCGAGGCGTCTCTACGTGAACCGTGTCTACGTGCTCGTCCGTCATGCGACCGCAGCTGAGTTTGGCAGGTTCGGATGTTTCTTTTTAAATGCCCACAAATAATTGCCAATATTTGCGAGGAATTGAAGACCCACGTAAAGAAAAGAGGAAAATTTCCGTAACGTGCGTGGGCACACGAATGACAGCGCCGTGGAATGATAACACGATGGCTCTGACCAACGTTCGCATAATCTTCTCTTTTCGCAACACCCGGATTAGAAACGCCCGCAGAGACATTTAATCGCGAACCTTTATTTTAGAGAATCGACTGGCGAAAGACAGAGATGTCCTTTGTGTCCCTTTGTAAGATCTCGAGATGTTAAAGCTTAATCTACAATGTGCTCTCTGCGTCTAGAAACATTCTATTTTGTAGCTAATGTATACGTTTACAAAATTCATGCAAGTTGATAAATTTTATATTATACATTGTATAATCGTACATTGTTGACAAATTTGTTGAGCGTTTTGATCTGTTTATATAAAATAGAATGTTTCTAGACGCAGAAGGCACATTGTGGATTAGAACTTTAAAGTCTTACTACACTCTGAGCGTCCATCTGCGTTGCTCACAGCCTCGTTACTAATAGCGAGCGTCATAGTTAAGTCTATTTCTGTAGAGACTACTCGAGTAATCGTATAGACTAGTCGAGTGTAAGTTGCAACCTGCTTGCTCACGGTAAACTGGTGATATATGTCTCTCAGCTCGGACGCGTCGTAACACTCGCTCAGGGGCTTCACGTTCCTGCACGACAGCAGATTTACAACGCCCGGGGGTATCCCGGATGTCGAAAGCAGGTCGCAATACTGCATTATATTATATGTTTCCGTAGTATGTAACACGATGACGGAATTGCCGATGATTAAGCTCTGCGTCAATTTCTTAAACAGATTTGTCTCCTCCTTCTCCATGAGCGTGACGACGCCTCTCGGCCTGCGGGTTTTCACCAGCGAGATGTACGACGGAAATGCGGGAATCCACGAATTCTCGTACCAATGCGGAAATTTTGTCCATTTGTGTATCGTTTTGGACAACTTGGCTTTACTGAAAAAGAAAACGGGACAAAGTTATTACATAGCATCGCGAGAGACGCGACAAACTTTAGTATCTGTCCAGTCGGATCCGCGGAGAGCAGATTTTTTGCGTGTCTGCCATAAATCTTGTCGATGGAACGCCAGAAGATTGTAACAGAATTTGCTAACGGAAGGCAATTGGCCGCAGAATCTGCCGTTTTGTAACTGTTTAATGTCCACTTCTACCAATGTATGTTTAAGACCCGCATTCGCCAAACATCGCTTAACTTTAATCTTATTGTTAGTTTAATTCATGTTTGTCTCTTTCTAAAGTTACAGAGGAACGAATTAAGCTTAAAGTTAAACAACGTTGATGAACGGACCTTAGGAACCTTAAGAAGAGACGAAGGATGAATTGAACTAAGATCAAAGTTGAACGACGTTAGTGAAAACCGGGGCCAATCTGCTGCCGATCTATAGTCATATCGCGGTAGTTTGCTCACTGGACGGTTCGACATACCCAGTGTATTTCAATGCGTTCGCGAACTTGGACAACACTTGCATTCTGGATTCAGTGGACCACGCGCTCCAGATCTTGAACCCTTTCCTAGCTGACACAACGCATCTGTCGATATCCTCGCTAGAATGACGTACGAATTAGAAATTTATTACAGACGTGACGGTTATTAAAGTTAATAAATTTTAGATTCTCCGACGGTTCGAATCAGGCAAGATGTGCGAATTCGTACCTTGTTGCATCCGCCGTTTGTAGTTCGCTGTGCTCACTTGTCCAATATTTGTCTTTCATGGGCCTTTGCCATGCGCCGTCATAAAACAGAAGACTGTAACTGCTTGCAGAAGATGCATTGGACTTGCTCTTCGAATTTACCGGCTTAATCGTGCTCATTATGTGTTGATCTTCGTCCAACTCGAGATGTTTGTGCAGTGAAACTTTGAATATTTCCACGTAAGGCATAATCACGGTGCCATCATAAAAATCCAACGTATTTATGAGAACAATATTTCTCTGTTAAAAAGAAAAATCGTTAATAACATTCGAAACAGTTTGGCGATGTTGTAAAATTAAATTGGGCGTACATCTAAGGATGTTGCTAAACTCCTTGCAGCCGCAATATCTTCGGACCAAATGGACGTTATATTTATTTTATAATATGTAGGAGGTGTAAGTAATTCTTGCTTAGACTTGAATATACGAATGGCAGTATTGGAATTCTTGTTTATTAAGTATTTGCTTTTTAATGATAAAAAACTGCATCTTATTGAATGCGGTACCCATATTTTACTCAAGTATCGGCAGTTCTCCGACGTCTTTAAATAGTTAAAAACCGCATATAAATCCGAATCTTCTAGGACTATTATTTCAATGGTCTGATCTGTATAAAATATTGATAATCTTGATTACAAGAAACAAAATCCTGTATTTTTTGCATTACATCGTAAATATATTCTTTCTCTCTTACGTGAAAGTAGGGTTTTATACTCTCTGTATAGATGATTGTCTGCTGATGAGTTTTTGCTAAAATAGAAAAATAATATCAATCTATTATCGAAAATCTTTGTGGACACATACATGTTTAAATTCAAAAATTCATCAAATTGAGTGAAACAGCGAGAGAGAGTGAGAGAGAGAAATTGCTTATGATTCATTTCGTTCTCTTTTGCATAGCTATTGCAAATAAAATTGGTAGAATATATAAAGACATTCGAAAGACTTTGTAAGACAGACGTGTATAATCATATTAATTTTCCACAAAAGGGACATATTAACTAATTAATACATTTAACGATTAACAATAGGATACGAATTTTAACTGGATAGTTACATGAGGGAAGTTTCCAAAAACTGCTGAACCTCCTTTGTACAAAAATTAAGAAACGTCAGCATTAACGACCAAGCCTCTTTCTTACCCTTTTCTGCAAAAAGAAGGACAGAAACGCAATCTATTCGTATAAACAAGATAAAATGTTAAAAAAATATTTTTACAATTGCAGATGCGGTATTACCGGAAGCGAGATCAGACGTATAATTTGTCGACCATAAATATTGCGCGAGAGCTTGAGGTACGTCTACGTGATTACTGGCCAATTCGAAAAGAGGTAAATATGTCATTATCGTTATTGCCGTGCTTATGCGTCTACAAATATAAAAAGCAAGCGTTAAAAATGTGATAGAAGCAGAGATAAACGCGATTTTTGCCTGTAACTTTCGTCGCGCCGCTCGCATTAAGACTGAATGCTCGTCCCGTGTGTTTACCTATCCAAAAAATCTTCACCCTCAAATTTTACATCCTTGGTTAGAGCGGATATTGTCTTTTCCTGAAAACGAATGTAAAGCGATAGTAGAGGAAAGTCCTCTATTATGGGACGGGATTCTAAGGTGAGATAGTAGGTTTTTAACGTCCAAATTCAATCACAAATCTTTTTTCGCAACGATTACACGATCTAATAATCAATTTTCTACTTAACAGATTTCACTCCAAGGACAATAAATTAATGGTGGAATCAACAGATTATGCCTGTTAATTTAGCAGAACCTCCGTTATCTCATATTAGAAGCCTGTCTCATGATAGGGAACTTTCCTCTACTACGCATTTCAACGATCGGATCGTTTAAAAAAAAACTTACGTTAGATTATCCAATTTCAACGGCAAACTTTGCAGTTTACATTCCGTTTTCACGGATCTAAATACTCACATTCTTGTTAATCCTCGGTTTAACGTAGTCTAGATTGGTGTAATATTTTCCTATGAGTTTGTCCATGTTTCCAATAGGAAAATCTATTAGAACAATTAATTGAAAAGATGTGTCTTCGCGCTCGATCTGCGCAGCGTTCGTAGTAAAAATAGACGAAGTCGACTTCGTGTGCTCGCGGAAGAAAGATATTTGTTTTGAAAATGGAACCTTGAGTCAGCGTGCAAAGAACTATTTGTAAATATTCGTTCGACCGATAATACTCAAGTTGGAAAAGCGTCGTTGGATTTCAATTGACACAACGTCATCGAACGACGTAAATAATACTTTGCGTCGCGATTTCATTTGTCGACGTTGTAAATAATGCCGATATGATATCGGTGTTATAAAAACCTCGGCTGGCATTAAAACGACTTAATATGAACATTACGAGTTTCACATTTAGTGTTTGGCGCTGGAGTAATTAATCGTTTCTGGCATTCCGTGACTTTATAAGCAATATTTCCTTTTAATAATGATATGTGTGGTGTTTATGTTGCAGTTTCTTTAATTACTTTAAAAAACTGCAATTACTGCAACTAAAGCAACTGAAATACATTAAAGAAACAAATATAATTCTTGTAGCACCACAGAACAGAAGAAATAGTTTAATTAAAAGAACTGCAAATTAAAAACCACTTATATGTCGTGCAAGTAGAGGAAAGTCCTCTATAATGAGATAAGCTTCTAATATAGCAGGTTTTCATCACAATTTAATCACAAATCTTTATTCACAACGATTACACGATCGAACAATGAATTTTCCACTAAACAGATTTTACTCCAAGAGCGATAGATTCACGACAAAACTAATATAAATGAAGTCTATTAATTTAGCGAAAACCCTGCTATCTCATAATAGGGGACTTTCTTTTATATAATCGACATTTAAATGTGAAATAGCAGATTCTTGCTCGGTTTACGCGATCAACCTGCCATCACATTCTGCAGAGCAGATTCCCTTTTATATTTTCACTGGCATCTTGCCGACAAAATTTGCGACAGGCGCTTTGTAAAATCTATTTTCCACAGGGAACTTGGCTCTCTAAAATAGATTTCTAATTCATATAATTATACTGTTTTTTTAAAAAAACATTGTGTGACAAAAGACACGGTGTCTCGCGCTATGGACTATCTAATATTTGATTACGTCAATTTGCAGCTGTTGCGGCGAGCCTTGATTAATCACTGTTACACGCATTCGCTGGAAGGAACATTTCATCACCTTCGAGACATTCTCGAGCTCCGTGTCTGCGTGTCCCCGTTGGACAATGGATCCACGTCGCGAGAGAAGGCCGATCGCTTACTTGACGCGGAAGGCACAGATATCCTGCTGCCATCGCCTGAACAGGTGAACGAGTCCGTGCCGGTAATAGGACGAATCTTTGATTTAACGGACACCTATAGATCCAACGATCAGTACAGTCATCCTCGAAGAGAGGAGAACGTTTGACAAAGCAAACGTCGTTGGCGAGCATTCAATTCTTCAATATTCGAATCACAAATCTTAAAATCAAGTAGTTGCTCGCTTGAAGGCTTCAACAAAGAACCGCTTCCCGGTGTCAGAGATGTTAGAAAATCATTTCCGAAAAAAATTCTTCACTTTTCAGTCGTTTAGAAGCTAATTCAGATTCAATTCATTCTCGAACTACAGCAACGTTGCGATGCATGTATGTTAAGATGTTGTTTCTTACGAAAAAAATCTCTGAATTAGTCGAATAATTCGTGGAATGGGTGGTAAAAACTGTATCGAATTAAAGAATTTTTATTTTAGCCCGTTCCTAAGTGAGGAGGAGAACAACCAATTGTACGGCAAATGCAACAATATTTTTGGTCATGGTCACAACTATACCGGTAATTTGCATTATCAGTTTATCATGTCGTTAGCACATAAATTGGAAAGACGCTGCGAGAAAAAGATTGATGTACTGAAAGATTGGATGCTATTGTATTTTTGAATGTTTTATGTTAAATTTCTTGATGATTGACACAGCATCAAGCTAGGATTAATTCACTTTCAGTGGAAGTAACTGTCCGTGGACCCGTGGATCCATTAACAGGGATGGTTATGGACTTGGAGGACCTGAAAGACTGTATGCAGAAGGTGCTGATGGATAAGATGGATCATAAAAATATAGACAAGCAAGTGGACTACTTCAGAGAGACAGTCTCAACGACCGAGAATGTCGCGATTTACATATTCGAGGAACTGAAGACGCACATTCCCGAATTGCTGTATGAAGTCAAGGTCCATGAAACAGATAAGAATGTAATGTGTTTTAGAGGAGAATACTATGAAACTGGATCTCCTTAATCAGGCCACTTGATTGTACAGATTTGTTTATCTTTGATATTTGTTTGGTATCCTCATTACATTTGTATAATACAATTACACGATTGTACAATACGATTATATTAAAACGATCGAAAATAATACATGTAAATTATACGCTTGTATATCTAAGTGATATAGAAAATGTATAACATTCCAGTTTCGCCTGCATACAGTTTTCATTAAACCAGAATTGTAGTTACCCTCTACGGTATGGCAAAAAATTAAATATTTCACCCGTAACATATTTTTTCCTTATTGCACATGTACAGGGTGGGCCATTTTAATCCGTACACGGTAATATCTCCTCAGGTAGAGGTGATAGCGGAAAATGTCTCAGACAAAAGTTGTTCATATTAATTAGTAGAATAAGATAGTATAATAAAGATAGTATAATACACAATTCACGTGAACTTCAAGCAACTACTCAAGGTTAAATTTAATTAATTCATGACACTATCTTATGTCCTCTTCGAAACCCAACAACTTTTGTCTGAGGCATTTTCCGCTATCGCCCCTACCTGAGGAGATATTACCTTGTACGGATAAAAATAGCCCACCCTGTATATAGGTGGTCTCACATCTAACAATAAGATGGTTGTTAGAATCTTGAGATTCCGTTCTAATTAATAGGACACTATTAAGTATACCTACCTATCCTCATGCGTTATCCGGTACTTAAAATATAAAATACACACGCATGCGTATGACATTCTTAATAACGATTGATACAATTTGTATTAAAGCACATTTATAAAATAGTCCTTTGTAAAAAAGTTAACAAGAGTGCATATCACAATATAATCATTCCATAAATAATTTCTAATTCGCTAATGTACATATATAATCATAAATATCTGTGATTTTGTAATCGCTCTACTCGCGAGGAATTAATGATTTCGTTTCTTTACGTACGCTGCTTTCAATTATGTACAGAACTTATTACATCGTTTGTAACAACGGAACGAAAACGTTCGTTATAAAGCTGTAAACTCTCTTTGAAAGGTGTGTTCCAGGTTTTCAGATAAGAAATACTTTACCAACTAATATCACTAGAGGGGAAAGCTAATTGTCAGGTAGTAATATTAGGCTACTATGAGACATGTAATTTACTACTTAGTCATCGATATTTTCAATCATCGCGTTAAATAATTAAAAGCATCTTTAGAATAGCAGTGAATTTAGTGTATTTTATAAATCAAATACTATATATATATGCTCAGTTAGTGTTTTGTAAAATTATCACCGAATCTTAGGTATTCAGTGTCACTTGTCGAAATTTCTTGTATATATTCCTTTCTTTTTCATTTTCTTACGATTTAATTCTTTTTATGACTTTACAAATGATTCTTTAAAACAGGTTACGGCATAAAATACGATCAAAATTACATCTCGATAAATCACGGGACACCACACCATACATCCGCGCATTAGACGGACGAATATTGCATAAAATCCAAATATTAGGTATACCATCGTAATAAATAACGCATCACGATGTTAATGCTGATCTCGGAGGTCTCTCACGAGAACTATATGTTCATATTGTAACTCGTGCTCATATAACTTCGAATAGTGACGTACGGTATGCCGAGTTCAAAGTCGTCCCTGGGCCAGTACCTGAGCACCGGCAATTGCTGCGGCTTCTCGTCCTTCACGGCGAAATATGCAAAGAGCACCGCCGCGGTGTAACTCGCAATAAAGATGAACAGATGCCACAGCGCGTGGAGATACGGGAAGTTCAGACTCAGCCAGGTGTCGCAGAACAGACGATCGTTCAGCCAACAGACTACCGCCAGTATCCACATGGCGCCGCACCGCAATCCTAGTCTGTACACTCTTATCGAGGTGGTCCTTGAAAAGTTTTTAAGACACTGTTACAACGTGTATTTCAACGTACTACGGCGTCTACACCGCGTGTCCCTACGTCTCCGTTACATGAATCGGAGGTTCTCTTTCTACATTGGAAATGTCTGTACCAGGAAATTTACCTCTTGAGCTCCATGACCAAGAATCCAAACGCCGGTACGCCCAGGCTCATCAATGCGAAAGCATTTACGGCCGGATGTATGAGGGCCAAGCCGGTAGCGATTAGAGTGGGCAACGTTGCGCATATAGAGAAGAGCTTTCTGTCGTTATGTACGACATTGGGGAAATATCTTCTGGGAAAGAACATACAGAAGCCTGCCATATACACCCACAAAATAGACAATTCATCTAATAGTTGACCTATCGCATACACGTACAAAATTAGCTATTACGCAACATAAATGTCCATTTCACCGATTAAGCAAATGTGTCTCAAGCAAACACTTGAACGCTATTCCTTTTGCTGTTGACGCATTATTCTTAAATTATTGAGTGACACTTGATATTCTCACCTATCAGGGACAAAGTGGCGTGAAAGTACGCGCTAGTGAGCCCAACTATCATCAGTAGGAACCAGAATACGTGAATTCCTGGATTCACAAAGCGCGCATAGTCTCTAAACAGGTGCATGAGCACGGGTGGAAGCAACACGAAGACCACATTACTCAGCTGGAAAATAAAAATAGATAAGATTAATCAATGAAAACTGTACCGCTCTCTTTTCATACTTATGTTATGTACATCTCTCAACAAATTTATTCATTTATCAAACGCGAGCGTGACGTAACATCGACGCGGTTCCGCGCGAGAAAATATTATTGTGCATTCGTACAAACTAACATTCAGCAGGAAATGTAATATCATTGCCCTAAAGCGCGAGATTTAATTTCAAATAAAATTGTTATCAATTTTTTGCGTACTACCGCGATAAAATTCCTGGAAGATAAAATATTCGCTATGCATCAGAGATAAGAAGAAATCAAGATACAAATCGATTAGATACACTCTCTCCGCTCTTTGTGTACAAACAAATTTTAATCTTATCTTTCTAGTAGACATCCTTTGTCACGTTGACGCGTAATACTGTTTCCTTGTTCGCAATCACGAGGCAAGCTTTGTCGCGAATCTATGAAACTTTGACCTATGAATTCCTCGACATATTTAGAATCTGCCTCGAGCAAAAAAACTGTCTCGACAAAAAACTGAAAATCTTGTAGGAATAAGGACTAAAGAGCCGTGATAGGATGTCAAATGTCTAAATAATTCTTATTTTAAATTTATTACGAAAAATATTACCTCAGCCAGGGTCTGAACCTCCCCCACGGAAAAATATATATTTCATTATAATACATAGCTGTGTATATAATTATATACGTCTAATGTATGTTTTGTATAGTTTGTATATTTTATCATATATTTTATATAAAAATATTAAAAGGAATATTACATTAGGTGTTCTAAGTATCTTAGAATTTAGGTTCTCAACGCTATACCAGCGGAGATCAAACTGATTTCATTTGCCACAACATAAAAATATAATTTAAATATTGTTAATATATTACACATACATTTTTAGTATATTTTTGACATATACTACAAATAGAATTTTTATATACCAAATGTATGAAATATATTACCATATGTGATCACCTACTTTTTGAAAAATTAATTTTTCCGTGGGGGCTGCCTCTCACTACCCAAACAGCACCAAGTCGACTATTAGTTGACTGTCAGTCGGCAGCAGAAGTCTAAACAAAGTCTAGCTGAATGTCAACTTATAGTCAACTAATAGTCGACAAATGACTCGACTATAGTCGGCTGTCAGTCAGCCAAAAGTCGACTTAGAAGTCGACTTTATGGCAATTAAAAGTCGACTTTATGATGATTAGAAGTCTACTTTATGGCGACCAGAAGTCTACTTTATGGCAATTAGAAGTCAACTTTTAATCAATTTTACGTTATTTATATTAACTACTAAATGTTTAATAGTGACATCTTGAAAACCTGATTGATTAAAGTTTTTATATTTTAATTGTATAATATTTACAATATATAATACAATTAAGAAATAAGAAAATTATATTGATCAAGTCTTTGAAAATGCTCCAATTAAACTTGAATAATAATTATAATAAGCATATGTCTTAATAAAAAAAACAGACAATAAACCAGAGTATACATATATTATATTACTTAATTATGCGCTTTTATATTTTTGACAAATTTGACAGGTTTCCTTGATTAACTTGTATTAATCGACACATTACATCGTATTAATTCGATAGCCACGCGAAAAATATGACTCATCTTATGTCCAAATACGATTGTCGTCTATCAGGAAGACACTTATAATTCACGAATAAGCATGTCGCGACTATCGCGCTACACGCGGAAAGTGAGACGTCGATTCGCTATATATCGGTTCGACATATTGACCAGAAAGATTGGCCAAAAAGATATTTTTTACACATTTTTGCACTTTGCCGAAAAAATATTTTTTAGTTAATTTTTCGCTTTACCGAAAGGTGACTTTAAAATTCCTGAAAATGTCGACTTTAGGTCGACTTTCAGTCAATAGATAAAGTCGACAATAAACCATTCTATAGATAGTAGACTAAATGTCGACTTAAAAAGTTGACTTCAAGGTGACTAAAAAATGTCGACTATCAGCCGGCAAACAGTCATTTGTGCTATGTGGGTAGGCGGGCGTCTCACCAATTCGACCACCGTGGCATGTGATAATACTGAATAAACAGTCTAACGTTTTCACGAATGTCACATATCGTGACCAAAAATCGAAATGGAATCGCGCGCCGACTTAAATCAGTCTTAAGACACAGCACAATCATGTATCTCCATTATTTAAAAAATAACTAATAAAGTTAAGAGACGCATAATTAATTGGCGAGATGCCCGCCCAGTGAGAGGGCGTCCAGGTTCAAACCCCGGCTGAGGTAATATTTTTCGCAATAAATTAAGAATAAGAATTATGTAGACATTTAACATCCTGTCTCTTTACTCCTTCATTCCTTCGAATATTTATCACACAAGAGCCTTATGAACTTTGTGAAAATCTTGTGTTGGTGCAATACCCCACGTTAAATACCTTCGCGATTAATTGAGGAAATACCAGACATTGAGACTTTATTGTCCGCTGAAACCCTTCAGTCTCTAGAAAAGTTCTCATTTAATTACAGTTTTTGATTATAATTTAATCGCAATTCACGTGGTTCAATTGATACCCCGGACGCCTTCGGTCCGGGAGAAACAGATTCCAAATTGTGAAATAGCCGTTCTTTGTCTTGCTTATAGCACGATTCTCTTATCCAATCACAGACGTTATCTCGGGATCTATCAAACTTTCACCTGTGAATTAACTGACATTTTACGAATGCGGAATTTGTCTCGTGCAGAAAATGATCCGTCGTAGCACAAGAATTGTCTGCAAAAAAAGAGAGAGAGAGACTGAAAACCGGTTCTCAACAACCGTTCTCGCTCTTCGTCTTTACGAAACTCAGACTTGTAAATTTTTTAATAAATGTGAAATGTCTGTGCAGAAAACCATCTGTCATTGCAAAATCTGTACGTTTCAGGCAAAGAAAACGTAGCGGAAACCATTTATCACAGATACACTTTGCATATCTATGGAACTTTGATTTATAAACTTTTCGACCACTGTGGAATCAGCAAGAAAACTGTCTGCATCAGCAAAACAAAACTGGAAGCCAATTATCACTTGGATTAGTGCAATTCTCAACACTAGATGTTTTTGCAATTAATTTGGAAAGTATCAGGCGATTCAGATTTCACTGCTCTCTCGTTCCCAGAGTTTCTGGAAAAGCCCCTCATTTCCAGATCAATTCTCAATTCCAATTCTTTTTGATAAACATGGAATCTGCTTCGTGCAAGAAAACCAACCTGCCCAAGCGAAAAAGCTGGATACCAATTATTACTTGAATTAGTGTTCAATGCTCAGCGTTGAGTATTTTTGCGACCAATTTAGAAAGTATCAAACAATAAGATTTTATGGAAAAGCTCCCGCATTTCCGAATCAATTCTCAATTAAAATTCCGAACTTTTTGGCAAACCTGGAAGCTGCCTCGTGCAAGGAAACCAACCCGCTTTAGCAAAAGAAAAGCTGGGAACAAATTAGCACTTGAATTAGTGTTCAATTCTAAGCGTTTTCAACATTTTCGCGACCAATTTGGAAAATATAAAACAATAAGATTTTACTGCCAATTCGTTCCTCAGGATTTCCTGGTAAAAGCTCCCTAGTAGCACAGTGCATTGGTTAAACATTGGCCCAATATTTAGTTGTATTGGGTCAATGTTTAACCAACGTTTGGCCAGTGCGCTGTGCTACTAGGGCTCCTCGTTCCCGGATCAGTACGCAATTCCACCGAGTCGCAGTTGCCGGTGACTCGAGAACCGTCGACACCTGGGGATCAATTACGTATCCTACAATACTGTGAAAATGCTAACAGTGAGCGTCTCGTCTCTAAGAGAGCGGTTAGAAAGAGCCAAAGCTACTCACTTTTACCATTTTCACTAGAATGCAAGATACAAAATTGACCCCCTGGACTATCGTCTCGTCCAGGTGGACCAAATTTCCAAATTGATCGGAGATCAGAGATGCACACACGGCGAACGGCGAGGGAGAGAGTCGTCGCAGAGGACAGCGCGTGTAAACAAACGCGCAATACGAACCGTGTTCATAAACTCGGCGATGCTGGGCGAGATGTGGTAGTTGCGCTCGCACCAGTCCACGGGCGAGCTGCCAGCCTCGAAGGGTTTCCACATGATTGACGATCCGCGAGGTATCCCCCTCGGAATAGCTCGAGCTGCCCGGGTCGTACGAGGGAGAGAAACTCAGGGCCTCTGGCGCCGCGGCCTCACGGGATCATCGCTTGCCACGCGAACAATGGGCACTCCCGTACGACAGCTCGCAGTTCCGCCTGCGTGCGGGGAATGGGAGAATGCGCGTGTCTCCCCCGGTCCCTGGTTCAACGGTACCTCGCGAGCGTCTGGCGACTGGCGGCGCACTGACTCCGCTCGATCCACGCTCGCCAGCTTAATACCCCGGCGCAGTTTCGCGCAGAAGGATGGACAAGCCTCGCGCGCGCATGGCACGCGACTGCACAGTGCAGCCGATCACGTCAACAAACAGCCGAGACAACGTGTCGGGCTGGTATACATACACACGCACGCTTGACGGTTGCCCGTGCTTATCGATACGGCTCGGTCGGAACAAAAGATCACTTGTGTGCGCAAGCGAGCGGTTGTATTACGCGATAGATAAGATAGATAGATAGATAGATAGATAGATAGATAGATATATATGTATACAGGTAAACACTAAACGGAGAGAGTCGCAGTTCCCCGCGAGATAAATTTCGGAACGCGCCGAACTCGCGGGGATGACCGCGCGCTGGACTGCGCCAGACCAGGAGGTCAATTCTGTATCTTGCAACATAGTGAAAATGCTAAAAGTGAGCGGCTTCATCTCTTTCTAGAGGGACAGTCAGAAAGAGACGAAGCTAGTCGCCGCGCTTTTAGCATTTTCACCATAGTGTAAGATACAGAATTGGCACCCAGGAGGTCAATTCGAAATTTCTAAGCCGATTCCTAGTCCGTTCTTATATACTTAAGATCATCTTAAGTATACTCTTAATGTGATTTCAACCAATCACAGAGTCGTATTAGCGTCTTAAGACAACACTTAAGATGATTTTGAAATAAGAATCGACTATGAATACCGGCCTAAGAGTACATACAATGGATGAAATAAAAGCTAAAATTGAATGGAAAGTGTACAATTTTAAAAAGCGTCGCACAGCCGCAAAAGCATCTTACGCTCCTTTGTCCGCGCGGTACAGCGCGAGCAATGTCTATTCGTGCTTTATTTACCGACTTTTACAAAGCGAGTTTTCCACGAAACGGCATATCGCAAAGACGAATGCACGCAACAAGTCTACAATAACACGTTTCAACATCCGAGATGTTTGCGCGGGTCTACATTGACCGACTCTGCCAGATTTCCCGCGAGATTGGGGGGACGATCCGGTGTAGTCGTCAGCGCGTCCTCGCGCGCGTCCTCTCCGTCCGGACCGCCGCCACCGCCATGTCGACGTGCTCGTTAATCAGGGGTATCGCTTGCTCGATCAGGTGCACCTCCCCAGCCGAGATCTTGGGCAGGCCCAGGTTTCGCTTGACGCCCTCCGGCCCCAGCTCCAACTCGCTGGTGAAAAATCGGCAGACCGGCAGCACGTCCGACCGCACGTAGGCGCAGGTGACGACGCGCTCATGCCCGGAGAGACCGGCGGCGAGGTTGAGCAGCAGTCCCGCGGCAGCCGTTCCGGACGACAATGACGAACCCTCGCCGAGAGGTCCTGTCCTCACCCCCTCGTCGCCTGCCCGCAGCGATTCCAGCAGGGTCTTGCGTTGCGCCTGACAATCATATTGATTATTGTGTATGTGCGTTTAATGAGGACACAAATCATATGTTGAGATCAGATCTCTGCAAAAGAGATGTTATATGTGCGATAATTTGACTTTTATCTTAATGTCTGTACTATACAGATGATTCTCTAAAGCCTTGTGTCCACGATCCAAGAACTGTGTCAAAGTTCTAGTTTTGAAAAATGTGTAGCCAGTCAACTTGCATCTCTTGCGGAATAGCTGCAAGTTGATTGGCTACAGATCTCTCAGAACTAGAACTTGGATCAAGTTCTAGCATCGTCGACATAGGCCTTTAGAGTAATCTTTATATCTTGAAAGAATTTTGAATCTTGAACTTTATATCTAAAAGAACTTTGAAGGAGACGGAATTTTATCACGACTGTTTTACCTAGACTGATGCAGATTTTCTTTTGTTTGTCACAGACAAAGAAATTTCACGCGAAATTGCAACAGAACTGTCGCCCAATGCAACTTTTCAATAAACTTTCGTTTCCTTCATCTAAAGAGGAATCTTTTAATCTCTTTTTGTCAAAGAAGTTATCATTACATACGAACTATCAAATAACATTAATTTTCTAAAGCCTTGCGTCCACGATTCAATGTCCAAGTTCTAGTCCCGAGAAATGTACGGCTTTCAAGCTGCAAGCCGATTGGCTATACATTTCTCGGAACTAGAACATAAGACATTGGGTGCTTTCCAGCAAAAGACGCAGATTGACACAGTAATACAGAGAATCATTTTATCCTCGTTTAACAATGCCAAACAAAGACAAAACGATTCACTGTGCTAGACAATGTCGCCTGTGTACGTTGCTGGAAAGCATCCTTAGGTTCCAGTTTCACAAACGTCGGTTAACTGTTAACCAGAGTTCAGTCGACTTCCTACCTTTCTCTATCTTGTTATCCAAGAAGAGACAGAGGATCAATTAACCTTCGGTTAGCGGTTAAACGACGTTTGTGAAACTGGCCCTTAATTAACAAACTTCACGCGTACTGGAAACAGATTTGGGCGCTTTTCGAAAAGCGCGGGCGGCATTCGAATTCTAACTCGAAGAACTCTATTACAGATTAGAGATTAAAGCTCCACGATCGAGACTCTCGCCCGTACGTTGGTGAATTGGTTGAACGGGACGGCGCGCGACAATAGCGGCACGACGGTTCGCACGTCGGCGCCGCCGGCCAGCGGCACCGAGAGGCTCGCGCGCTCCAGGTTGAGGATGGCCGCCGCCGTCCCTTCGATCCGTCCGCCGTACGACGCGGTCGAGCCGACGAGCCGGTCGGGGTTCCACCAGCCCGCGCACCGGCAGATCTCCGAGACCATCGCGAGGGTGGCGGTGACGGGTCGCGCGAACACGGCCACGACGGCGTCCGGGCAGAAGCGCAGTATCCGATCCGTCATCTGACGCACGTAGTCGGCCGTCGATTTGAATTGCTCCCGCGCCATCGCGCTGCCCGCCGCGGCGACGTCCGTCTCGTCCATGAGCGCGACGATGCTCGCCTGGGCATTTTTGTTTTCCTCTTTTTCTCAATATTCACGAGTTCTCACACGTAGGCCGTTTTAACCCTTTGCACTCCTCTGTCGAGTGTGACTCGACATCAGTTTTTACCTCAGGAGCTCCTTTGCCGAGTCTCACTCGACATTTTTCAAGTCCAAACCAATAGATGAAATATAATTCCGAGTGCAAAGGGTTAACACGCGAGTTCCTCGAAACAAAGTGACGCATTACATCTTCGACTCTCACATGCCTTGGTTTTTTCTTTTTTATTGTCAATTATCGGAGAGTCTTAGGGCCAGTTTCACAAACATCGGTTAACTGTTAACTAGGGTTCAGTCGACTCCCCATCGTTTTTCATCTTATTATTTAAGAAGAGACAGCGGATCAATTAACCTTTGGTTAGCAGTTAACCGACGTTTGTGAAACTGGCCTTTAAACTTTACTTTTTAAACTAAAATTTCTTCTGGATTACTAAATTGAGCCCGATACTTTCTCTCCTTTATCTCGACAGATCTGCAAGAAAGTTTTCCGTGCGATCGGTATTTCCCGAGGCTCTTACTTCCCTCAGGGCCTGTTTTATGTCCTTTCGCCGGAAGTGATCTATACGAGGGCTGGTCTCCAGGTGCGACGCGTCCGTCAAGGCCTCCAACGCGGAATCCCTCGTGTCCACCAGGCGTATGCTTTTGATAATCCGATATTGCTTCAAGAGAACCGCGGTGTAGAGAGGCGTCACTCCCCCGCCGATGATGCACACCTTTACGCCACTCTCGTCGCCTCTTCGCGCATTCTCATCCTTCTCCCGCCTCGTCGAGCCTTCCGCGTTCTTCTCCTCGACTCTCTGGACCGTCCGCTCGTCGGCCGGAGGGATTTTCGAAGATCCGCGACGCGCCAAGGTGAAACGACGTCCGCATCGCCGCGACAAATCGAGGCACGATCTCGATAGTACGGTCATGACTGATTTTTATGTTTTTCGGATACAAAGAAAGAGAACGATTTACAACATTTTTTCACAATTTTGCAGAATGCGTCAAGACGAGAACATTGCCACGGTCGTGCGACTCGCGACGGATTTGCGCGAGATCAAACAAGTGATCCGCGATACGCAGAACGCATGTGAATGTGTGTGCGTGTGTATTATACATAAAAGAAACGAACAAATTGATACGCCTGTGACTCAAGCGCGAATAACGAAGGTGAGAAACGCGTACTTCTTGATTAAAAATAAAAAGATAATACTTTATTCTTTGTACGACAAAAATATATATATATGTATTTTAATAACATATATATATATATATTATTCTGCGTATTAATTTTTTTAAGATTTTGTAATACTTTTTTCGCAAGAATACTTACTTATTTATAATTATTTTATATAAAACGTACACAACTTAACTCTAGCAAGATCATCTTTGATGTACCTGTATGACGAGATGATTGCAAGTAGAGAACCGGTGAACAATTGTATTTATTGTCATCCTTTGACACCAAATTAGAGACTTATTTAATTCCTGGTACAATCACTGCTGCTGAGTTTTCGTAACGACTCGCGCAACGCTGTTTATAAATAACTTACTCTATCTCCGAGTCAAATACTCCTTATTGTAATCATGTAACAAAATATAAAGAAAGAGTGCGACCAAGTTGGACAAGGTATTTCTGGAAAAAAAAAAAGAGTTAAAAATTCGGTCTGGATTTAGCCTGGAGTTAGGCAAATTGAACACAGCTACCGTTCCAGAGAAACGGCCCACTTAAAATCCCACTTTCACCAGACGGTCAGTTAAACTGGTTCAGTTTTCAGCAGTGTTGAAGTTAACTTGTTCATTAATCATCTATGTTTTTGATTTTTATTCAGACTTGACTTTTTCTCTCTGATATCAAGCTTAATTGGACTTGACATTTAATCTAAAGAGGAAAATAAGGCCCGGTTTCACCAAACGTCGTTTAACTTTAATCTTAGCTTAATTCATGTCTATCTAAAGTAACAGTCGGAAAAAGACAAAGAACGAATTAAGCTAAGCTTAAAGTTAAGCGACGTTGGTGAAACCGAACCTAAATAGTATCTGCGGTGGCAAGTAGTCACGATTGGTAGCTTTGTTGCAACTTGGCACTTGCATATTCGTAATCTACGCATCAAACTTTAATTTAAGCCAGCGGCACACGATGCTTTTTCGCTTGCTGGTTTGCTTGCGTGCACCTTTGCTGGCTAGTGAGAGCCAATCAGAATTCCATGTGATAGATGAGCAAGACTGTGTGCCGCTGGCTTTAAATCCAAAACGAATCTAACTCTTTTCCGGAAATACTGGACTTGGCCGAGCTCTTTGCAATTTTTATCACGACATTGTGTGATTCGCCTATCTTTAATTTTCCTTTAAAAAAATATCAATTTGCATTACATTGTATTTATAAAACGTCTATAATCTACAACTTTCCATCAATTCTACAATTAAAAAAAATATTACACTTTGAATGTTATAAATCTTCTTGAATTTTTACATAGAGGCAAAGTTCTCTCACGCTGATGTCGATTTCCCAGGCTCGATGATAATGTCAGACAAGTCCGGTACCGAACGAACATTCAATTCCTTCTCGTTTGCCAGATGTAGCATGGATATGAAAGCGATCGGCACGCTCAGTGCTTCGGCGTTACTTTTAGTCAGTAATTTCGGTAGCGCCTTGTAAATATCACCGAATTGTTTACCATCCTTCATCGTGTCAGTCTTGTTCGCCGTCTCTTCAGTATTCGCCGCGGCCACGTTATCGTTCGTAGACTTCATGGAGGTCCACATAGCGTTCTTCAATTGTCGCATGTCGATCCTCTTCGCCTTTAAGCAATACGCGATGGGTATTTTGTTAACTAGCTTCGGCGCGGCGACCAGATTGTCGCCGGTAAAACCCTGGCTACCCAACTGTGTAACTGCGCCATCATCGAAGTTACAATCGTCGTGACCATCATCCCTATTTTCGTAATCTTCGTAGTCGTCATCGTGCTCAACGTTGGGACAGTACTCGAGCGTATCGTGTGGATTGTTATAATCGTAGTTCTCGCCGTCAGACACGTCCGCAACGGCCACCGTATCTCCGTCCCCTTTGTCTCCACCATTCTCAATTCTTAAAGCTTTCTTGTACATGTAGAACTTGTTCAATTCTGTGACGTCGTAATGCACATCTTCCGGTAGCACCAAGCTCTCGGTGGTCCATTCCGCTTTCGCAGTCTTGGCATGTAACTTAATGGACTGGCTCGACGCAAATTTCGCCTCTATGACATCGCGTACGTTGTCGTCGTCGTCGTACAGCAGCTCGAATTCTTTTCTCTTTCGCTGCTTAGCCTGCATGCAAGCTACCTTGGTGCCACTTTCGACGCCAGTTAATCTCGCGAACTTCCAAAACTTCCAGTGGGACGGGCCGGCCCAGTGCAAGCGCATGCTCGGCTGGACGAACGAGTACTCGGACACCCGGACGTTGGGCACGTCCACGATATTCGCGTCCGTCGTGTCCCGATAACACGCCTGAGCATTGTTCTCGTTGTTGTCGTTGTCCTGCTCGATGTTGAAATAGTTCATGGGCTCGGGCGCAGGCTCGTCGTCGGCCGCCACGCTCGCGTCCAAATCGAATTGGAATCGATCGCCGCTCTCGTCATGAGGCCCGGCTTCTTCTTCCGACATCTCCTCCGGTTCGTTCTCCACGGACCAGCCAAGAAACTCGAAGTTTGAGTACAACTTACAGATTTCTAAATTCGAAAAATCTTCGATCTTCGGTATGCCGTACCTCGCGTTCGAATTAATTGTCGACTCGGACGTCTTCTCTAGGACGTCGACGATCACGTCGTTGTACAAATGCTGATAAAAGCCGGAGTTGGCGTGGTTCGGCAGTATCGCCTGGTACAGCATGTCGCTAGTCTGCAGATCTCCCTCGCCTATCGTCATCGACACAGGCTTCGCGATCTCGATGTTGCCTCTCAGAGCCTCCACAGTGCTGATGACCTGCCCCGCCTTCTTCTTCTTCTTACTCTTCGTTTTCGTCTGCACCTCGACCCCGCCTCCCTGCGTAGTTTCTTCCTGCTCCTCCGTATTGTCCTGTTTATCCAGTCCGCCGACCATCTTGAGTATCTCCATGTGCACGCTGTCCACGCGGTATCCGTAGATCTTGGTGCTCACGTCCAAAGACGTGCTGGCCACTTGCAGATTCGACATATTGGCATCTTGCTTCTTTATCATATACGTCATGAAGTCGATCATCTCCAAGCTGAACGCGTTCTTAATGTTGATCTTGTTCTCGGCGCTCAGTTTTATGCACTGATTTATGCTCTCGGTCATCTGGGGCGCCGGAATGTTCGCTAAGAATCCCAGGGAGTATCTTTTGCTGCTTCTGTTAGGGGACAATGCCGACGCCTCGTTAATTTTCTCACGCCGACGAGCGATGCGTTCCGCCTCATCGTCGTTTTCCGAGAAAGTGCTAACCGAAGTTGATTGGACAATGGACTTTCTCCGCAACGGCGACGAGGAGGTCGGCGAGTTCTGTATCGCCTCCAGCCGCTTGTGCGCTAGAGACTTACGAGCCTCCATTTTAATGGGGTCTTTTGTACTTTCCTCTTATTTATACAACTGTTACGGTCTATGTGTCTGTTCCTCAATTAACTCCTATTCTTCTGAAACACGCAAGCACAGCTTTAATTAGCACAATACATTTTCAGTAACGCAAACGCTGCAGATGCGAATCATTTGTGTGATCCCAGCGCACACGCCTAACTTCTGTACAGTCACTCTCTGCAAAAATTGCAATTGCAGACTAACATAAACCATTGAAAATTATATCACAAATTTCCAGCACGAGCGACCTGGTCTAAATATTTTTGAGAACTGAGTTACTGCCAAATAAAGAAAAAACATTGAACGTTTTCTCTAGGAATTGGTTGTCCTAAAGTAATTAGTAAGTTTATCTTAGATTTATACATACAAGAATCATTGTCGACCGGACCTTACAGTAAGGGCCTGAGCAGAATGGCTGTCTTGCACTCTCAAGACATAAGACGTTAACCTCAAGACAAAGGCTGATGGCAGAGAATCTGTAAACACTTAATGCTGGGTCTACAATAAGAGTCGCAGAGTCGCAGTCGTAAGAATAATCGACTGTAATTGGTCAATTCAGTCAGACACATAAGAATTAACCAACCATAGTCGACTATTCTTACGACTGTGACTTTACGACTTCTATGTAGACAAGGCTTAAGACTGTCTCGGTCGTAGACGTAGGGCAAAGCAGAGAGAAACGTAAGTCGTGAAAGGTATACGACCCACGTTTCTCTCTGCTTTGCCCTACGTCTACGACTGAGACAGTCTTAAGCGTTTACGGATTGTTCTCTGCCATCAGCCAAAGGCTCGAAACATAAAACACTGTCTTAGGTCCAGTTTCACAAACGTCGGTTAACTGTTAACCAGAGTTCAGTCGACTTCCTATCTTTCTCTATCTTGTTATCCAAGAAGAGACGGAGGATCAATCAACTATGGGTTAGCGGTAAAACGACGTTTGTGAAACTGGCCCTTAAGAGTATAAGACAGCCGTTCTGCTCAGGCCCTCACGCATCATGTACCATTTATCCTTACTTAACATTTGGTGCACAACAAGGATAAATGATGCAACATGCGTGAAACGGAGCGCACCTTAACCTAGCGACACCCACCGTTTATCGCGGCAAAGTTCTTCACTATCCTCTCGAGATCGGTCCTGATCAACCGCAGTAGAACGTAATAGCGCTGCAGTTCACCGTGAGTCTTCTGCAGGGTCTCTAACGTACGCTCGTCGCGAGAAGGCATTGGAGTGTCTTGCGCCGGTGAGTCTGCACGTGAAACGTTCAAGCGTTTAGATCGGAACGCTAAGCGGTCACCTCGTTTTCGCCTACCTGTCGACCGCGCGTCTGGCGATCATACGAAAAACACGGTGATGAGAACGACGAAGAACACCCAGCGATAAAGCAAAGTACGTTGCGTCTCTCAAGCGGACGACGTCACATTCAAATATTGAAGACAGGGTTGCCATTATCCCGCGTTCCTAAAGACGCAAGATCCAATCCCGTCCAGACAAAGTCTGTTCGCGTCGCATATCCCAACAATCGACCCTATCATTGGTCACATCAAATTGTTCGCTTTGATTGGTTCTTTCCATAGAAATCTGTACTATTAGGTACAGGACTATGAAACGTGACACTTGTATATACCAATTTTCTACATCTTACATCTCTTTAACGCCGATACTTGAACATTTTTTAATCCTGAAGCTCGCCCAATTTTCAGGTTTGGCCAATGGACGTCCGACGACGTCGAGTGAGACACTCGATTGGCTAATTTTATTGCTCGTCGTTGAGACGCATTTCGAAGCACATAAACTTTGCTCCAGCAAAAGAGCCAAGATTTTATATAACTTTTGTCATATAAACAGTTAACTTGGCGCAATGTGAAATTTGACATATTTTTTGTTAATTAAACAACATATCTTTATTGTCGAACAAATTTCAAATTAAAAAATTACTTTATACAATCTTTTTCTTAATGTACGTCTGTTATTTAATTCATTATATACGAATAATGAGAATTATTAAGTCTGTTAAAAAAAGAACGTATTTATAATATATCCTTTTGATATTTTTATGTGGACGTAAAATAAAAAAACTTGTCTAGTAACTATTATTAAGAAAAATTATGACTAATTATTCGTATCAAATTAGAGAGAAAATAGAACTTTTAATATACGGGTGTAGCTGCAATCTGTTCAATAGCTCGTTCAGTTTCCTTGTCCCGTTGAATTGCTAAAACATTATATAAGGGACGCGGAAAGGCAGATGTTGGTCCGAGAATATGCAGACGAACGTCGCATTTCTCTAACAGGTATAGCCACTTCAATTCGTTGCGCTTTTCTGCTGTCATTGCCTACAATAATTATATTTTAAGTACTATTGAAACTAAAATTTAACAGTATTAATCTTGGCTATTTTACATGCTTCAATCTTCATTGTTTCCATTTCTACTTTTTGGTAAACGACGAAGAACGTTTTAAGAATCGTTCCCTTTTTGCGTGAACAATTGAAAATAGTCATTCCACAATTTAAATAAAGTACCTGAAATTCATCAACTGTGCAGCCCAGAACTCGTTCCGCAATGTCGCCGGTTAAACGACATCCGATGAGATATCCGGTGTCGTCCTTCAAATTTATTTTTACGTTAAACTTTACAGTGTTTAATGGCGTCCGCATCCCGTTGCCTGACGGGCAACTTAAGTTCATACAAGAGTCCTGCGTGTCCGCGACGATCTTTTTACATAGAGCACTAAAAGTGAAAGTGAGAACAGTACAGTGCAATTGTCGATTCATTCGTTGGATAATATATGACGTGAATAAATAAAGTACCATTTTATAGATATTATGTCTTTGACTGGACTGTCCAAGTTCATTTCGGTTATCGAGGCCCTCACGATCGTTGCGAATTGTAATCTCTCATCCTCCGTAGTCGTTTTCTTCTGTAATCTCTCCGAAATTTGCTGCACCGTCATAACAGTCGTGATAGTATCCGCTGTTAACACAGAAATTAATAATAAATCAGAGTAAACTTTGCATTTGCACCCGCGTAAAGGAATTGCGTTAAATTTTATCTCAACAAAATAGAGAGGGGGAGAGAGCTACTTATTTTTTCTTTTTGCCATTATACCTATTTTTCGAAACATTCTTTAAGCGATAATAGATATTTTAATTGATCGTAGATAATTGGAAAGTATTTTTAACAGATATTTAACACAATACTAAATGTCAGGATTGTAAACGTGATATAGAAATATGTTTACATTAATTTACAACAATATCTTTGCATCAAGTTCGGCGTAGAAACGCTCATTTGCTATTCTTACGATTTGGCACGGCAAACGGGTCGCTGCATACGGAATCAGGATCGTAATGCTGTACCGCGTTCGTAATATCCACGGCTTGCGGTATATCCAGACACTCCGTGATCAACGTTCGTCTTGCTACGTGCAATAGATACGATTATTGCCAATGTGGTGACGAGTCTTTTTGTTAACCGTTTAATGCGCTTACTCAATATGGAAAATAGCCAAAGAACTGAATGTGTATACGTACATACATGTAATCATTTCATAAGCTATAGCTTAAATTTAAAAGAAAACTATCTTGTATTTTAGGAGAGAATTTTTTTACAAGACATATTAATTTAATTTATAGTAGATAGTATAGAAGACAGTCGAATCTTTAAAATTACGTTGAAACCTATTCAAAGAGATTTTCGTAGCCCTTCGCCAGATCATCGTAAATACATTTTTTTTTAAAGAGATTTCAATAATCATTACATAAGAAGTCGAGATCAGATTTCGAACGTACCGATACTCAAGGTAGTTTTCTTCTTGTACTCGTCGTACGCGATGCGAGCGTCGATCAGGAACAGTACCGTCTTCTTCGGTTCCCAAAATGCAGCTCTCTCGATCCAGTCCTTGTCCCACAGCATCAACGACACTGTATTATCCGTCGATGCGTCCGCGACCTCGAAATTGCGACACGTTATGGCTCGTCCGTCTCGCGTTATTATATTACGAGTGTCAGCGATCTACGGTATGTTAAATCAATAATTGCAGATTTATAGTCACGGGCGTGGAGGTAACAGTTTCGGAGCAGCGAAAGGTTTCCGCGTTGATTTCATTTGTAAGAAATCGAAATTTTAGAAACACAAATACTCTCTAACTAGTCAATCAGTGGCCATTATCACTGAAAACAGTGAATAGTCACTGATTTGCAGTTATAAGTATACTACTGAAAATTGCGGTATATCTGTACAACTGCGAATCAGCGACCATTCACTGTTTTCAGTGGCAATTCATTGATTGATTTTGATAGAGTATTATACTAATTTCGAACTTGCGATTGAATAAATAATGTTTTCCAATAGCCACGCGAAGCTGGACTTCACCAGCGAGAAATGACTCGTCGATCGATGCCGAGTCATTTCTCACTGGGTCATTTGTTACAACTTACAAACGTAACGACGACCAAGAGGTCGACAAAGCGATTGCACAGAGCCTCGATGTTGTCCAAAATCGCTTTCAGGCTTTTCGCGGAAGTCACGCTTTTCACAGGCCGCGTCAGTAGAGCCTTGTACTGTTCGCTAGTCGGCGCGTCGTGCTTTTGCACCAGGGCCGCGCCTTCGTTCACAATTAGGACGAAGGGGCTGGAAGTCGACGGCATAAATTGCTCGTCATTGCGTTTCACGATTTTCGCGTTTATCACTTCCACTGTAAAACAGACTCCCTTTTTATATCAGGATTCGTCGTAAGTCATAAAAAGATAGAAACTCGTTGTTTCCTCCTTCATTCGCGAGAGTCGCTATTTAGGACCGCTCGCATTTATACAGGTCGAGCGTGAAAACAATTTGTGTCAGATATAAATTGTGGAAAATATATTAAATATGTAAGAGACAATGTATCTCGCGTGACTTTTGAGATTTAATAATTACAAAGTGTCACATCAGCCTCTCTGCAATTTACGGACGATTCGTGCCGAAAATATTCACCTACGGAACCGATGTTGAACGTGGTCGATAATTTCTTCATGAATTCCGTGCTGCCCCACACGGTGACGTTAATAAAATCCTCCTCGGAGTCGCGCAAAGTGAATGTCCACACGCTACGTTCGCCCGCGTTTCTAACTGCAAGAAAATCAACGGGGTGAGAAGAGAAAAGAAATCGCCGCCTCTCTCTCTCTTCTTTCATTTCGCGCGAACGTCGATGGCGTACGGGGAGGGAACCCGATGGACGGAGGGGTATGCGTACATTTGGTTCGAGTGGCGTCGAATGTCCTCATGTTCGTGCTGCTTATGATCACGCCGATCGCGAAAGTGTTGGGCGCGCCTTCCTGCAGCCATTTTATCTCCTGTCTGTACAGAAACGACATGTTCGACGATCGAACGCGACGGCGTCGTCGGTTTTGTCGGCGCGAATCGAAGTGGAAGACGGGAAGACTGCACGAAGCGCGTCCGCGCACGCGTGCGCATGCGCGGTTCGTAGCGCGGGAGCAGTCGCCAATCGCGACGCGCGTTCGCCGTCGAATCTCGCCGCGCCGAATTTCGCTGAATTCGAAACGCGACGTTACAATGGGCATTAATTTGCCAAAAAAGAGAGAGAGAGAGAAAAATGCGTCCACAACGTCCATTCCTCTCGGTGCAGATTCACTTTGCAGATTAATGAGAAATTATATTAAGGCCGGTGTATTCGTAGTTTGTACTTACAGGGAGAAACCTGTGAGCGGCCGCGCCGGCGTTTTACTTGATACCGTTTCAAGAGACTGTTTTGCCGCGTCTTTACGCCCATTTTTACATTCGGAACTATTTCGCATCTTCTGACACTGCCGATAAAGTCCACCGCTTTGTGCGTGTACGTGCCACGCCTATTTTTCAGGATTGTGCTGTGAAATGCAAAATTACATTGACACAACTTATCTGCATGATATTTACATCAACTCCTCTCATGTAGACAATGTAAATTTTAGAAATAAGATGTCAGAATGCGTAGCACAAACATGGCAAGACAAATTAGTTAATTGATAATGTTACAAACGTTGATAAGCAACGTAGTACTGTGGATTAATATTTGCATTATATTTAAAAAATGCGTGTCTTAAACACTGTACATTCAACGGGCAATCACTTGCTGGATATAATTCGCTTTAGTCACAACAAACGCATCAGAAAATAAGTAAAAGGCGCGAAAAAATAAAAAACGTATAGTATAAATAAAATGTATTATCATAATAGAAGTATTTCAATCGACGTACACGTACAGTTAAGTATTTCAAATCATAACTTGGTTTTCTTATTCTTCGGTAACATAATTTTAGGACAAGCACACAACGCGCGGATTACATGTCTAATCTAACGATGATAAGAAACAATCTTCATCGACGCGAATTCATTGCTACGATTCTTTTATAGAAATGCAATAACTGGGAACGAAAAAGCAATGAACAATTAATAGAATAAAGTAATTGAATAATTAGAGATTATTGATGTACCGTAATTTTCCAGTAATTATTTCGCTTTTACATTTCTATAGGGACGTTTATTATTCTGTATGTTTTTGTTCTTTGAATATCGGAACAGAATTGCTCTCATAATTTTTTTTTCGAAGAAAAAGATTGTTGAACGCCACATCTACAATTAACAATGCACGAGTGGTAAAATATATTCATGTCACACGGCGCTAACGCAAATCTTCTCTCAAAACATCAACCGTACGTGAGTAACAAAAACACAAAACATCCCTCAGTACACCAAGAATTAAATTTCTTAAATTGATCGTTATCTTTATCGTTTTCTGAAACAACAAGAAACCTATATTGATTAATCAGAAAATAATATTCTTACTAAGGAAAGAAAAAGATTACTCACTCTCTTCATTTACGTCATCAACGGTATTTTTTCCAAAACTATTTCTGTCAATACTAACATAACTTATTAGGGATGTCTGAGGAAATAAGCTCGCAAACGTCTTTAATGCAACATAAACGAGATTACTTTTTTCGCTATATACAGGCACACTTATAAATCCAATGGAATATTTCTTTAAATTCACTTTGTCTTTAAAGGACTGTAATCTTGTCTGCACCTCTTCTTTCGTTGTACCGCGTTCCATCCTCAAAATGACGGACCACGTTCGAATAGAACCAGTAATTAGGACAGCGGAACACCTAAGTAACAGGCGATTCCTCGTACTAATACGGAACAATACTCCACCGCATACAGAATCGACTTTATTTTCTGTGCTGTATATACATATATGCAAAGAGAAATAAACGTGTGTTCTCAGGTATTAGCCATCGTTATGCATATAACAGTTGGACATATCGGAATAGTAAACTTCGATAATTGTTTAATTAATATAAATTATACCCTTCTTGTACGGCTGAGGCCCAACGTTGTGCTACATCGTAACAGGCAAAATCACAGAATAACATAAAACATGAAGATGTTTCCTGATTTGACGCAGATGTTTTATGTTTAACAATTGTATTAATTATATCCTGATATTGATGTGTTTCTTTTATGGTGGAAACGTCTAACAGTTCAAAAAATTTTATTTCCACGTTCGGGATTTGTGGTAAAAATGTACATAATACATTTACATCTAAAAATTCCCTTCTTGGATTTACATTTGCAGCCACACAATCACCCCATAACCATATGACCTCGCACTCAGGTGGAAATGAATCTTTTATGAAATCTGAACAAAAAATAAAAGATAAATTATTATATTATATTATACTGTGATTTAAATAGAAAAATTAATAAAAGAATTAATATTAAAATATAGTTTATCCATCATAAGTTGATTTACGTAAAATGTTCACTTTTTAGTATTATGAAATCTTGGTTATTCATTGGTTTACATAAGTTTAATTTTTACACGTACACGCGCACGCACACACACTTATTACATATTTTTATGTCAATAAAAATTTGTACGTGCTCTTATAAAACTATAAATTAGTATTAATACTTATTTATATGGTAAACAAAGTAATATACCGATTCCAGCAAGCATAAATACGGAAACAAAACAAAATGATACCGATGGCTCAATTCTCATATTGTTGGTAAAATTTAAAAATGTATCTTTGATGTTGTACATGTAATTCGACTGTCCAATTGTTACAATGTTTGTATAATTTAAAAATGTACGTTTGATGTTGGGTGGGCCATTCAAATGAATAAACAGTACAAAGTGACAAGACTCTAATCGTTTCCGTTTCTTCTCCTTTTCAACTTCTGACCAAGGGCTGAAAAGAATTTTACTCAAATTTAAACTGCGTTCAGCTTATGTTATCGCTAGGTGCCTTTTGTAATACAGCGAATGGGGTGACTTTAAATATTTATTACTAAAAATATTGCATAAAAATGGCTCGTAACACCTTCTATCTCTTTAAGCTGTTACACAATATTAATACAGTGCACGAAAGAAAGAACAAAAATGAATGAGAAGAAGAAAGAGCTACAGAGCTGTTAAGTTTACAGAGCAAAAATCATCCTTTAAAATACGGGGCTTAATAGTTTTATGATGAAATTTTTATATATACGACACGCACAAAGACATTATTTGTACGTACATTAAACGGACCTGTTCTGTAAAAGTTGACGATATCGCCACGTGTTTTGCGCACCTTTTCTGTGGTATATTATATTTGCGCAAAGCACGCAACGATGTCGTTAATGTTTACAAAAAAGCTCCTTAAATTTTCACGCCGGGAGAGATTACGACTGTGTTTCCATCGAGGGTCAAAGCCGAGCTGGAATTGAGCCAGAATCGAGTTGGGGTAAACGCCCTTGCCGTGGAAACATCAAACTCGTACCTGAACCCTATCTTATCAAATTTTAAGGTACGGACCAAATGAGGTTCGATGGAAACGACCAGAGTCGAGTTAAGTTCCTGTATTGTTGCCAACAGATTAAATAGTAAAGTAGCTTTCTGATTTACCTCAGTTCTGTTTTCTTAAATTAAAATCTAAAAATATTCTAAGGTAATTTTATAAGGTAGGGCTCAGACTTGAATTTGGTGTTTCAACCGAAGCGCTCGACCCGAACCCGATTCTGATCGGACTCTAGCCCGACCTTGACCCTCGATGAAAACACAGTCGATGTTGTTAATCGGCGTCGAAACGATGCTGAATCTATCGTCGAAATCGTCAAATCGATATCCGCCGACGAAATCATTTCTCGCTGAATTGTTCATGCCTATATTAACATAAACGCGATGTAGAAATCTGTAACTATACTGTTTGCTTTTAATAAGTGCAGAGTAGGAACGCGGTTACATCGAACCTGGTTCGCTGTTGGCGATTTGACACCTTTGTACCTGTAAGCCACCGCGGCACTCTTTATGTCTTTCATACTTAAATATTGAAAGATTTTGCTTATTCCATAGAAGTGTAGTTCGTCTATTCGAGTGCATGGATTTTGGTCGCTTCGCGTTGTGCCGTTGCTGTTAGATGCTCCAGGTTCTTCCTCCCGAGAGCGTCGAATTCTCTTTCTCGTAGGACCCTCCATCAGTCCTTTTCAAACGCCCCGAGAAACAGGTTCTGTGGAACGTCACAGTGTCACAACAAAACACACACCACACTGCAAGAGTGATGCAAGGTAGCCACACCACAGTATAACCACAGTATAACCAGTATGCCCACAGTATAACCAGTATGCCCACT